CTTTGATTCATCATGGCTAGCTTATTTATCATGCTCATTCTTAGTTAATTTGAATATTCGAATACTGAGGCCATCTAGTGCATTAAACTTTGTTAGATTTTCCAAGGCATCATTTTTATTAAAAAAGTTCATCTACACACATTTAACTTGTACTCTAAGGCAAATTAAATCATAGATTTTTTTAACAATCTTTATTGAAATACATCTTTGAATCACATATTTTTCTCTATATCTTCCTAACTCCTCTTGACCCTTGGCGTTTGCAGTAAGCCACTTGACTAAACGCTTTCTAAACGCCCTTCTTCCTAAACCTCTGATCAATTTGGCCGACATGAATCCGACTGCTTACGCTGTCATACCACAGCTACGGGACATCCGTCAACTGCGACGGGCATTGACTTTGCTGTGGTTTCAGGTAGCCAGCTGTGATTCGAACGCTGCTTTGGCACTCCGTCAGTGTCTGTCTGGCCGGGAGCACATGCTTTGTCATCTTCACGAAATCGACACATTTTCATTAGAAGTGCTTTACAATTTTATTAGATCTATCTTATTTGCCATTATAATGCGATAATTTCGTATTAGTTGGTTTTATTTACTTCTAATTGATTGGTCAGTTACATTATTAGCACAATTTATAACAGCCAATTTGTTTAGATGTAAAATCTAAGTCAAATTTTTCACCCCAACTGATTGACTGATACTTTAAGAATATCTTGATATTCTCTCAAGACATTTTTTATTTATTCACAGGCTCGGCACTACATTTTGCTATATGTTCTTCAAATGCTGAAAATACTAAATAAATAGAGCTTTGTTATGGGTTTCTCTTAACTTGGATTTGTTAAAAAGGTCTTGCTTTCATGGCTAGATCTATACTTCAAACAAGTTTGGTGGACGTTAGGGATGCAACCGAAGGTATGAAGACTAAGAATTTGTGGCTTCTATATCAGCTGCATTGTCTTTTCGCTGCATAGCAGTGGTTTGACCTCATTTTCGCAACTTCGTTGTGTTATCACTTAGATCTAGATAAATGCACTTTGTTCGGAGTTTTACGGAATAGTAGTGTGATAATTAACAGTGTCAGATTCTGGAATTGTTGCATTTTAATTCATTTCGCCATTTATTTATCTTATTACAGTCACAAATATTATATCGTCATGTCTCCTCTCCCATAAAAGACTAGTCTAGTTTTTCCTACCCCAGAGTTGTGC